CTTTCTTTGCTGAAATAGAATTTACATTGCATGTGGGTAAAAAAAAAAGTCCCTCATTTTTCTAAAGCAGAGTGACCAAGTGGAAAGTTAGCAGGTTGTGGAGTCCAGCAGTCCTGGGTTGACTTGTGGTTTTGCTGCTTGCTGGTTGATGAACTTTCTTGTTATTTAACATCACTAAGCTTCATTTCTTTATCTGGAAAATAAGCAAAGTAATAGCTACACTATAATCCCTAAAGTTATGGTTCAGAGCTAATATATGTAAAATGTTGGGAATATTATTTGTCATAAAAGTAAGTGTTCAAAAGCAGTTCTTTTTTCCCCTTCTCTGTTGACTGGACAACAACTTACCACTATTCTTTGGTTGAAATTGTATCGGAGCCCAAGAAGCACCATGAATTGCTCCACAACTTTCTTCACTACAGGCTAATTAACTCCAATTTCCTAATCCCATCCTGTTTACTCTTATTTTTCAGTCCTTGAATCTTAACTCAGGAACTTGTTTCCAAAAAAATTATTTTAAAAAAGTGCTTTGCATTCTGGGGAATTGCAGTTTTATAAAGTAAGCAAAAAATAACAGTACTTGAAAATTGAAAACATTGATCCATATATTCTATTTTGCTATACACATCAAATTCTCATTCTAGGTTGCAGATTCATAATTGAGGTCACTATGGTGACAAAGAAAAAATGGAGTGATGAGACAATCATTTGGATTGTTACAGCCAAAGATTTGGCCACAATTATTAAGCTAATTGACAGACAAAGTTTACTTCTCTGGTGCAAATTCTCTGCATGATGATCTTCAATTTCAGTAGGCCACTAATTTAGACCCAAGTGATCTGCACCATTTTAAGAAAAGGAACATTTCAGACCCTGGATTGTTTTTAAAAGTTGTACACTCTATTAGTTCTTGGCTAATAGAGTGTTGGATCGACTGACTTCTGGCAGCCTTGCACGTTGACTCCACTGACATATGTACAATTTCAGACTTGAAGCCACACATGAAGTAATTGTGAAGCCTCACAATTCATCCCTAAAAATCTGCCATGCGGTGGTTCTTGTCTTCTCCAACAATGTAATCCCTAGGAATTGTGATGATATGAGCTTTTAAAAAAATTGTTAATTAATCTTCATTCACTTAGGACATATTAATTTATCTGTGATGAGGAAGAACATGTTGAAAAATCCCAGAATATTGAACCAAAGAATGAAACGGCTACTGTAATATAGTTTGGATCAGAGATTTTTTTCTTTCTTCTTTTCATACAATTACTTATGGCATGTGATATTAAGAAAGAGAAAGAAAATTCCAAAGCAGAGTTTCCAGAGCAGGGTCTAGAGAAGCCCCATAGATTTACTCCAGCTGTGCAGTTAATAGGTGATGAAACAGGCCTAAAAAGAGCTTCAGTGACTTATCTAGTGTCCCATGGTTAGTCAGTGTCTTACTTAATCATGGCTTTGTCTCATTTTGTCTTTCTGATGATTCAGCTTTAAGTTAAATGCCCCTCCCTTAATGAGGTAGTCCTTGACCATGTTAAAGAATTAGCTCCTTCCTGGTACCTAGTCACTCTGTCTTGTTATTCTGTTTTATTTTATTCATACCACTTTTCAATTTCTGAATTTACATTCTGGTTTATGATTCTGTGGTTTGTCTCCTGTAAAGTGCAAGCTCCATGAAGGCAGGGACTTTGGCTTTTGTTCACTATTATATCTAAAATAATGTTTAGGACATGTAAGTCTTCAGTGCAAATTTGTGGATTGAATGGACCAGAGCTAAAGAGGAAAGAACTCTTGTTTCTTAGGCATCTATTATGCTAGTTGCTGTGCTAAGTTGTTTGTGTGTGTTACATAAACTAAGAGGTAAGTGATGTGCTTGGAGCCTTGCAGTTAGAAAGTGAAGAAGCCAGAATTGAAAGCCAGGGATATTTTGCTTCAAGTCCTGACATCACAAGAAATTATTTCCAGTGTTCAATGGTTCCTGCTCCACTACTCCCTCCATGACCTCTTCCCGGGCATCTAAAGTTCCTAGTACACCAAGTTTGTATTTGGCATCCCCCGTTGGCTCATATCTATCTGGGCACTATAGTTTTCAGAGAAACCAACTTGAATATACTATATTCAACATTGAATATAGTATATTGAATGTATTATATTCAACACAGTAAATACTCTTTGTTGCTGGCTTCTCTGTATAAAGTTTACTGAGTAAATTTCTCATAGATATTATAGCTTTCTTTTTTTATATTTTTATAGCTTTATTTCAATTTGATGGTGAATCCCATTGAGTTGCACAAATTTGCCATGAAAAGCCTACAAGAGAAGGAAATCTACCCATCTGATGATTGAAACCTGATGCAATCAAAGATGATAAAAAGTTCAGATGATATGGGCCAAAAGATGAAGAAAGCGTGGGGGTATCAACAAGACAGAAAATAACCCTGAAATAGTGTTGATTCTGACCACAGGGTAATCAACAAATTTGAGTTGGGGAAAATGTCAAATTTCTCATCCCTATCAGGACTTTTTACCTTCTTCAGGTTAGGTCATATTGGATATAACAATTTCCATTTTGTCCCAGATTATAGAACTGTCAAACTTTAGTGCATACCAGAATCATCTAGAGAATTTATTACCAAAGGGGTACAGGGACCTACTTTAATTAAAGAGATTCTGTGCCAAGCACAGAGTGAGAGCTTAATTGATGGTGACCATTAGCATTGTTATTTATTTCACTCTTCCCCAAAGGGCAGTTGTGGGCCTGACCTATTCATTCACAGATTGGCAAGAGAAAAAAAAAAACATGCACCAAACTTAGAATTTGAAAACCTGTGTTCAGACATCAGTGCTGCTAATTTCTAGGTATGTGACTTTGGATTAGTCACTTCATGTCTTTGAGCTTCAGTTTACTTGTCTGAAATCATCATAGTCAATAATGTTTATTTAGAATGCTATTGTAAGAACTGGATGAAGGAATGCAGAAGAAAGAATCCAACAACAAAAGGGCAGGAGGTTGTGGTTTAAAATGTGGACTTTCTCTATTATGATTAAAACAGGTCATTTACTTCCAAATCCCAGCCCTGCCAGCCATCATTACCTGTGTAATTGTAGGCAAGTAAACCTCATTAGCCTTGGTTTTCTCATATATGAAAGAGACAAAAACAATACTTTGTATATATCAACTCTCAAACTTTACATGAACCCTGCTGTTATGAGCTCTATTTTATTGTAAGGGAACTGAGGCACAGAGGAGTTAAATAACCCAACCCAGATTCACATAGACGTGAATCTGGTTTGTGTCTTCAGGAACTCCGGTTCAGAGTCTCTACGCCTTACCAGTGAGCCTGCCGCTCCCAGGAGCACACAAGACATGATGAGGAAGGGCCCAGCACATGACAAATGCTCAGCCAATATTTCCCCGAATTTGAATAACTTACTTCACAGTACAAACTCCATCCTTCTATTTCGTTATGCAGTCCACGGCACAGCTCAGACAGTCAGTGTTCAACCCTATGTAGCTATTGCCCGTGAACACAAAAGTGCACTTGGGCTGCATAAAAACTACAGACACGTTTATACAAGAAGGGGAACATTGTGTCACATTTGGTTTTTATTGCTTTCAGCATGTTAGGCACATACTATCTGTTTATTAGGTAAAGGTGAAAGGTTACAGATCACCTTAAAGTATAGATGAGTTGCTTGAGAAAGGGCTACATAGAAAATTGCTGTTGTAAATGTACAGTAACCTAGAGCTTTTCGACTCTTGGAAGTAGCTTATGTGTGTGCTGACAATGACTGACATATTGGGAATGAAACCTGTCTTAACAGTACAGGATGTGGAAGTGTACACCAAACTTACTCAAAGAGAAGAAAGGAAGTCAGATGTCAACTAGAGTTAAGGGCAATTATTCTTTATTTTGGAGGAGCTTTCCAGTGAGTTGGGGGAACACAACCCAGGCTGAGGGTGTGGAGTCTTACTGAAATCATGAATCAGAACAAATTGGGAGATACATAGTCTGATGATAAGATAGAGTGTGAGGACTCAGGACATATGTTCCGTGTAGCCATAGAATTCATGATGAGGGATCCGCAAAACGGACATTCAAGTTCCTGAGAACAAAGGCTGATCCAAACAAAATGATTCCGTTCAAGTTTGTTGTATTTCTTTTAACTACTTCCCAGTCATTACCCACAATTTGATTTGAAATACTTATAAAAGAAATGTACCCCAGTACAATGCATCATTTATGAAATTATGCATTTCATTTATAGAATTACTAGTAATGCAAACTCATAGTTTTACCAACACAATTTAGATATTTCTGCTTCCATATTGCAATGATTGCATTATCCCTCCATGGCCAAGTGGAGTGGTGAGCACATTTGTTTAAAAATAAAATAGACAGTAAATAAATCAACACCCTTAACGAAAGCTAAATTGAACACAAGATTTATGCCACTGTAAGGAAATCTCCACAGAACAATATTCGCTTTAATGCTTTCTTTTTCCTCTACTAAAATCTTACAGTGTATCAAAATGAAGAAAGCACTTTCAATGTGAATTATGTAGGAACAGACACGATGACAATTCTGTTTTTCAGAGTAGGGTTACAGAGCCACTTCTGCTTGCCCCCGCGAGTGTCAGTGTCAGCCTTTACACTCCTCTTGAGTACGGATCTATAACTATGAAGGAGCGTAATTGGCAAGGAAGGGCTTTTCAAAACTAACCCTTCCCAAGCAAAGCCGATTCTGACGACTTTCGCTTTCCCTCTCTTGTTCAGCAAAAGGAACCCCCAGAGGAGTCGTGTTATTGACTAAGCCCCAGTCGGTAAACACCCCTGAACATCATTTAAAAAAACAAACAAACAAACAAAAAAACACAAAAAAACAAAAACCAGAGAGGGAGAGAGAGAGAGAAACACCAACATGAGCCAAAGGACGCCTTTCTAAGGAAAAAAAGCCTGAAGACATTTACTTCAATGGAGAGAGGGCTGTTTACTTACATTGCTCGCAAGACCTTCCAACAGCTGGAGTCTTTGAACTCTAGTGTGCGCAGATGTGGAGCTTTTGCTCGAAATCCCCTTTCCTTTGGCAGCAAGGATTATTCATAACTCTTTAGGGCTTCAGATTGATAAGTAATTTCCTGATTCGCTTTCAAAAGCATTCTCCCAGGCTTTGCGTGGTGGCAGAGAGAGGGAGTGGGCAAGGACCCCGGCGTGCAATGACGCTGTGGCCTACACAGATCTCCTGATTGTTCGATCGAACCCGAAAGAAGACGTCGACGTTACAAACAAAAATAAATATCCTTCTTTATCTGTTGGCTCGTTCCCCAAATCATATTTGGGAAATAGCACAGTGAGTCTGGACAATATTTTTTCTAAAAGTACGATATTAGCTGAACACCTTATCATTTTTGTGCTGGGAGAAATCAGGGCACCTCTGACTAGTCTTCAAAGACCAGCTGTTGCAATTTCTTTCTTATCAGCTGCTTTACAGGATGTTCTTAGAGACCAAGCAGCCCAGCCCTTTCGGTTGACAGTCAAAAGAAATGATGCCCAGGGCTTACAGGACTTGACCAGGATCACACAGCTAGTTAGCAGAAGGACAGGAACCTAAGAGCCGACTGTCAAGCCAGTGCTGTGTCCACTGTAGGGAGGTGGAGGCAGATGCAAGGACTGGAGATCTGACTCTCAATCTTTAAGATACCTATCACTGGACATGGCCCTTGATGTTTCTGAGTCTTGGTTTTCACAGCTGCAGAATAAAAATCGTAATAGTAACCCTTGCTTGGTCATACAAAGTGGTAATCTCTCTGAAAGCATTTTGTCCAGGATGAAAGCAATTGTATCCTAAGATGAAATTTTGTCGACACAGCCCCGTTTACATGCTTCTCTTCTCCTTTCCATTCTCATTTCCATTCAATATTATTTTCTTACTGAAAGAAACCACTGAGTGACTTTTGGATGGAGAAGGAGGAGTATAGTGGCCAGGAAATGAAATAGAACATGGAGAAAATTTTACCTTGGAAATCCAGGTAAAAATTAGATGAAAGGGTATACAGCATATCTTAACATTTGCCTCAGAAAGAACACTAGATCTAGAAATAGAAAATCAAAGCTTGACCACTGCCTGGAACACTTAACAGCCAAGGGAGCCCTGTGGAGTCATTTAAACATTCCAAAACACAGTTGACTCACTGGGTATGTGATCCCTGTCCCATTGCACTTACCTCATTTTGTGGTTAGAATCAAATGAGGTGTTTATCAAGATAGTGCTTTGCAATGTTTCAGGCTTTGAAACTAAAATGTAGTTGCTATGGTTTGAATGTATGTGTCTCCCCACAAATTCATACATTGGAACCTAAGATCCAATGTGATAATATTAGGAGGTGGAGCCTTTAGGAGGTTATTAGGTCACAATGGCAGGGCTCTCATGAATGGGATTCATGACTTTGTACAAAGGCTGGAAGGAACTAGCTAAGCCCTTTTTGCCCTCTACCCTTCTGTCATGTGTGGACATAGCATTTGTCCCTCTGGAGGATGTAGCAACAAGGTGCCCTCTTGGAAGTGGAGACAGAGACCTCACCAGGCCCTTAACCTGTTGGCACCTTGATCTTGGGTATCCCAGCCTCCAGAACTGTCAGAAATAAATTTCTGTTGTTTATAAATTACTTATCTGTGGTATTCTGTTGTAACAGAACTAATGGGCTGAGACAGTGGTATTTTCCAGTGGGATGTGCAACTACTATTGCCCATTTCATCTGTGTAATTGGCTGACACCACTAGGTGCCAGGGCTCCCGGGTTCTGCCTTGACCTTTTTCCCCCTTTTCCTTTTAGGAGTGTATTTCATCTTTCTTCCCTTGTTATCCACCTCTTGGTACTTGTCTCCCATGCTTGCTGCTATTGGTTTTCTTTCTTAGGGCTCAAATTGTCCTTCCATTTTTTGTGTAATGGTAAGAATGAAGAACAAAGAGAAAACATTTTGTTCAGTCACACAGAAAGGCATCCATGTTGTCTTGACACAAGTGGGAATGTCTTTATTTTTGAAGTAGCCACGAACAAAGATCAAATGAATCAAGATCAGTGCCCCCTTGAAAATGATCAAGTCATAAGTCCAACTCGTATTTTATGGTTCCATTCACTTCTTTTACCCTTTATAAATTTATTATTTAAATATTATTTCAGTTAAGATTTGCACTCTATCATCTGTAAGAAGAATTTTCTAGTAGAGTCTTGCTTGGTCTGCTATAACAAAATACCATAGACTGGGTGGCATAAACAACAGAAATGTATTTTCTCACAGTTCTGGAGTCTGGAAGTCTGAGATCTGGGTGCCAGCGTGGCTGGATTCTGGTGAGGCTTCTCTTCTTGACTTGCAGATGGCTGCCTCCCTTCTGTATCCTCATATGGTGGGCAGAGGGAGATCTTTCTCCTCCTTTTCTTAGAGACCATAGTCCTATTGGATTATGGACACATCCTATGACCTCATTTAACTTGAATTAGCTATGAACGCCTCTGTCTCCTGAAAAAGTCGTACTAGGGGTTAAAGCTTCAACACATGAATTTTGGGGTGACACAATTCAGTCCCTAGCAAGCCTGCAGGAAGTAAAAGAAGGGAACGAATACCTATTGAGTCTTTTTTTCTCCTCACTGAATTGTCAAAACAACATTGATAGGTTGGCTGTGACTTTTCTACGGTCACAAAGCTAGTAAGCGGCAGTGACCAAATGTAAACCATGACGACCAGAACCCTGCTCCCCTCATGACACATTCTGCCTCCACCTCTTCTGTTCTCCTAGATTCTGAGCCGTGACCCTTTATTTTCCCTTCCCACTCTCTCCTATTTAGTTGCCTGGAGGCAAGACATTGTTACCCAGAGCACCATGAGAAGGAAGCCATGGGGATTCCCTCATGTGCCCACTGAGCTTAGACTGACAGCTGTAGAGTTTGCCTGGAATGTTCTCTCCTTGCATCTCTCCCAGCCTCCTTCATGTTAATAAGTCCCTTCATTAGTTCAAACTGAACACACATGCTTCTTCCCCGGGATGTTTTCTTTGATCTGACCCGCCCCACCCTTGCTCTTCCTCACTATATTCTCTTATACTGTCCTACATTTCCCCTTTATAATTTTTTCTCCTTTCATAAAATTTCATAAATGTTGTTTTATTATTGTAGTGGCTATAGCAATAGGTCTATATTTCTAAAATAATTCGCATAATGGTTGCCCCCCTCACTGGTCTGTAAGCTCCCTGATGCCAGGGATGCTTTGCTTACTAAGAGCTGTCCAGCCATTAGAACACTAACATGAGAAGCTACAGAGGAGCAAGGGAGGATTAGACAGGGGCAAACCAGGGAAAATAAATAGTAGAAGAAAGGCCCTTCAAAATTCACCTCTAGCAGTATGACTAGCAAGCATATGTCTGAGAACAGTCTAATGAGGCCCCTTTATTAAGCCCTCTGTGTACCACCAAATGCATTCTTCCCCTGTCTATTTTGCTAGGTTTGGCTAATCAAGAATGACGTGGTTAATGTGAAGAGAGGCAGCTTGAGGAGCAAATCCTGGGTCACATCTGCTGCCTGCTGGTCAATGCCTGGGTTCCTGCAAGGGCAGCAGAGCCTGACCCTCTGCAGGATGGGGCTGCCTGTTCATACCCCATCAGCCTCAGTCTCTTCCTAGAAAGAGCTGATGGGACAGGGTGTGAAGATGTGTAGGAACAAAGAGGAATTCCTTCCAGAGAAAGACATTTTCAGTTGAAGGAACCACATGTACAAAGAAACGGAATGACAGCATGTTGTGTTTAGGGAACCTCAAGAAGCCTAGTTTTGTTGGTGAGTTACAAGGAAATGTGATAGTAGAAATGAAAGTATCAGATAAATCTTAAGTGTTTCCATTAATATCTATTTCTCAAAATTGTTTGGAGGGCCAGTGAGAGAGTACATATGGAATTGCTTTAAAAACTGGAAAAAAAATCCTATGAAAATATTTTTATTACAAATTCTTTGGATGAAGATAACTAGAATATTAGGCTAAGAAACCATGCTGGGAAATGGAATTATTTATAAATTTCTTTTATTTATAAACCAGAAGTTTTGATTAATTTCCTTCTTCTAATCTCCTTTCAAAGGCTAGAATGTAAGTTTATAGTATCTGTTGAATATGAGTGAGTTGGGGGATGTATGTTTTCAACTCAGCACTATCCCTGGCCCTTTCTACTCTCTCTGAGGCAACAGGGACTGGAAGCCTGGAACTACATTTCCCAGAATCACTTGTAGGCACAGTTCCTAATTACAGTCAGTCAAGGAGGGCACACACAGGGTTGTGAAAGATAGAAAATAATTAGAGGACATTATTCTTCGGTGTCAGTTACAGAGTGGAAACAGCCAGCTGATGTATGGTTTGCAGCAACTTCTGGGTGAGATCCTAGAATCTCACACTTTCCTATGGCTTCCCAGCAAGCTTGTTCTTCTCAGTTTACAGCCAGACAGAATGCTTTTTTTCTGCAATTGTTGGTCTCATGAACCCCTTTTAAACAATTATTTTTTATTTAGAAATACTTATAGACTCATAAGAAGTTGCAAAACAATTTACAAAAATACCCTAGCTTCTTCAAATGGTGACATCTTATATCGCTATAATAATCATAGAATAAAAAAATTGATATGAGTACAGTAGGATTAGGCAGACTACAGATCTTCTTCAGTTTTTACCAGTTTTTATGTAGATTCACTTGTGTGTTGCATAGTTCAGTATAGTTGAATACAATTTGATCTCATTTATAGATTATTTACAGTTCTTTCAATGGCTCCTTAAGACTTTAATTTCTTGCCTTAAATCTCTACCTGATGCTATTTTCTTAACTGAATGCTGAGTGAGGTGGTTAATAATTTCTTGGTGTTATCTCACATTTGAAGCCTTGCAGTCAAATTTTGGTGCTTACCTTCCATTATGTTCATTCATGTGTTCAACTAAAATATCACTCACTGATATAACTTCACAGGCCTTCTTTCCCATTGTTTTCATCACAGGATTACAAAGGCATTCCCAGTGTATCATTATATTATATGTAAGCTACCACGAAAGATTTTTAGCTATTCGTTGGGCTGTTAATTGCTCAGTTTTCAAAGTCATTCTTACTGTAGTAGATTAAAAATGGAAAACTTGTAAAATCATTCTTAAATAATGGTAAAATAATTTATATATGATAAGGCAGGAAACAAACAATAAAAGGTATAGCTAATGGATAGGAGGAGGCTAAGTTATCATTGTTGAAGATAATAAAACTGTACACCTAAACAATGCAGCAAATTTAACAAGGGCCATTAGAAATAATATATGTTTAACAGAATTTACAGATACAAAAATACATGCATGAAAGTAGCCTTCCTATATATCAAAATAATCAGAAAATAGAATGTTTAAAAGCCCTCTAAAATCTAAAATGATGCTGGTTTCTCTGCAGAGGAAGGAGAGACTCGCCTCTCCCTAATTCTGGGCTATTTTCTCACTTGAGCCTTAATCAGCACAACTTGTGTACAGAGACTCTCAAAATTTTGCTAAAATATTTTTGTTTCCTTTCCCTTCTCATCCTTACCTCTGACTCACTAACCGCAAGAGATCAAAATCTGGTCTGAAGAAGCCGAGGGAAGTGAACACTATGACATGTTCTTTGTCCCTTCCTAATTAAGACATATTTCCTCTCAAAATATCCTAGCCTGCAGAGATGGTCCCTGGCTGTAACTTAATTTTTTTTTACATCATTTTTTCCAAGGCAGTGTAACAACTTGAAACCACATATTTCAGAAAATGATCTTCTCTTTACATTCACCATTTG